GTATGTCTCTCACATACAAATGTTGAAATAACACACACAGTTGAACTCACAGATGTGCCACAGCACTGAAAAAACACACAGCGAAAAAAAAATTACTTTAAAAATCATGGGACTTTTGAAATAATAATAAACCTTGTATCTTACAGTCATCTACAATTGTCTTGGGAAAAAAAAAATTAAATGCAATTCCTCTGTGTGATCCAGAAAAATTTATACAAAAATAGCATAAACTTTGGGGAAAAAAAAAAACCACAAGAAAGGGGAAATAAAAAAAAAAAGACAAAAGAAAATACTTAACTATTTATACCATATAAAATGACTGACGACTGCCAGAGACAGCAAACATGATACTCCCTTAGCAACTTAATCTAATGTGCTAATTGCAGGTGTAACTTAAGAGATACACATTTGAATTCTGAGTCCTGGAAGGTGTGCTCCAAATGATTCCTCAAACAAGACACCAGCGCTCAGTCTGGCAAGAAAATACATGTGTGAAAACTAGTCACATAACTAAAAGGTGCAGAATTAGAATAATAATTTCCACTTCCATAAGACTGTAATCCATTTTGTGTCAGTTGGAAGTAGAACAGTTCCAGTTGTTAATACTATCCGTAACCTAGTTTTCTCATCTGCCTAATTTGTTGGAATATCATTTTGTATGAAGTTAACTGTTTTGTGGTTTTTATTTTTCTTTTTAGTCAATCTATATAATGGTGTTATCATAAACCTGCATTTCCTAGATGTAACATTTATTCACAATTTGGAAATGATACTTGAAAACATATACAGTGAATAATCTATTTACTTTTCATATGAATTATTAAGTCTGCCTATTTGTTGCTATTATACGAGCTAAACAATCTAAAAGCTTTAGCATGTCATCTCGAAGTGACCTGGAGATATTTGACATACCATTTGAAATAGCTGGAGGCAATTAAAAGATGTGTAGATGGGGCACGTGGGGACATGGTTTAGTTGTGGACTTGGCAGTGCTGGGCTCGTGGTTGGACTCAATGATCTTGGGGTTTTTTTCCAACCTAAATAACTCTGAGATTCTACAATACTGTACAATAAGCCAGATCAAGAAGCAGTAGGCAAACCTAGTAAAATCTCTGCATTTTTTGATACTTGCAGTTGTCACAAATGATTATTGTAGACATTGCATCTGCATGGGGACAAAGATGCATCTAAGTTAAACCAAGAACTGACTTAGTATAATCATCTCCAACTCACAGGATACCATGTAAACTAAATGATGAAATATTGGTGGACCTTGTTTTTCATCTGAAATTAATGATTACAGTGGTGAGATCTGCACTGACCTGTCTGGGCAAAATAATTTATGCAAAAGGCATTAAGTCATTTGATTGCTAAGTAGGCTAATCACATACCAAAAAAAAAAAAAAAAAAAAAAAAAAAAAAAAAAACAAACCAACCAACCAAACAAACAAAAAACCAACAGAAAATTAATTTGAGAATAATTTCTACATATTTAGTGACTTCACTAAACTTTTTTTTTAAAACAAACATGTTTTTTTCTTGTAAGCAGTAACTGAACTGTAGAGAAAAATGTTAAAGTAATCTCTGCATTGCTGAAATGTGATTCCTCAAAGAATTATTATCAGTGCAATAATCTTATGGTATTTTATTTGATGTAACTTTTGCATCACTCAGAAGGGTTTATTTTTCAATACAACACAATCTGGTTTTGAAAACAACCTGAAATACAAAAGTATTAGGAGTCCATTAAATAAATTTAATGTTCTGGCATACAAGAAGCATGAAAGACAGCTGAATTCTTTAGTTTTAGCAAAAACACCTTTTTTTCTTTTTTTTAATCATTTAATTTGGAGAGGACCTCTGACTCTTCAGCCTTCTGTTACATTTGACTGAGTGTCACACATGTATCTATCTATGGGAAGACTTCTCTCCACACTGAAGTGCCCTGTATTCCCAGCCCACAACTGGCCCTTGAAGCATCATGTCCTTGTGCTGGAATCCTTCCACACAGTAATGCAAACAACTGGTGTGCTTGGTTTAGGATTAGTGATAGATTTTATCTTTTTTTTCTGAAATCACTCATAGAGCTATAGAATATGTAAGTACAAGTAAGATAAGCTCTGCATTCTAGCAGAATATATTGAAGAAAAAAATCATCTAAGTTGGAGATGAAGAAACATGCTCTATAGATAACCTTACATCTAATTTGCCTTTAACACTTTTTCTATATTCATGTGAGCTACCTCCAGCAGATCAACTATAGCTTTGAGGAGGCAGATACACACTCTAAGAGCTGATCTTTTGCATTTCTTAGCAGGAACCTGGAAGGGGCAAAACATCACTTTGCATCCTTTATCTTTGCTCACAGAGTTTCTGAGTGCTCATTCTCAGAACCTCCTGCAACCTCCAGTCCTGTTAACTGGGTCAGGTAAAGACTCACACACTCCTGGAATTTCACGTGAGATGACTTCAGCTTTGCAGTGAATGGATACTGAACTGCTCTAAGACAATTCTGAAAACCAGTCAAAAAAACTGCCAGCAATAGGGTGAATCTGCTGACCCCTAGCTAAGGAATGGCACCTTCTTAACAGGTGACATATACTGCAAATGGAGAAGGTGAAAGAAAGTTTACCTTAGCTTGCAGGTGGCTGTCTTTGGGCCCAAAGAACTGCTCTGGATGCTGAGCTCAGTTCTAAACAGAACTGTAACCCCAGCCCTGGCATTCTCTGGGTGGCTGAGGCCACAGCACCATGACAGCCACACATCCCATTTCCACTGCCCTGCAGGAATGCCTACAGAGTTTAATACCAGTGGGTGCCAGTGAAACCAGGGGAGTTGTGATCAGAAGGATAAAGCAGCTCTGCCATGAGGAAAGGCTGAAAGAATTGGGATTGTTCAGCTGGAGAAGAGACAGCTTTGGGGTGACCTGCTTGTGCCCTTCCAGTGCCTGAAGGGAACCTGCCAGAAAGATGAAGAGAAACTATTTACAAGGGCCTGGAGTGACAGAGGGGAATGGCTTCATACTGACAGAGAATAGGTTTAGATGAATATTGGGAAGAAATCTTTCCCCATGAAGGTAATGAGGCATTGGCACAGATGCCCAGAGCAGCTGTGGCTGCCCCTGGATCCCTGGAAGTGTCCAAGGCCAGGTTGGACAGGGCTTGGAGCAAGTTGGGATAGTGGAAGGTATCCCTGCCCATGGCAGAGGGGGAACCAGGTGATCTTTAAGGTCTCTCCCAACCCAGACCATTTTATGATCCTATGCTTTGTTTGCCAAGTTATCCCTGCTTTACATACTAGCACTTGTGAGCCTTTACACTGTCCAAGATAAAAAAAAACAAAACAAATTAATATTACAGTTAGAAACTTAAGATAACACTATAATCATTGCTATTCTCTGACGCTAGATTTTCCTAGATATGTTCTGAAATTATGTTCCAGGGCTATCAGACACAGCATTTTTGTCATCCTAAGACAGTTTTGTATATGTGTGGGTATTATATATGATTTGAAAGTGACACCATTCATTATTGGTACATGAGCACTTTCTACTTAAAATGCCTTTATGCTAAAATTATCTGACATAATAGACCCTATATCTTTTTGATCAGCCATCAAGTTCATTGGATGTTAAATCTTAAAAAACCTCAGTAGTTTATTAATATTTCACCAGTAAAGCAGCTTTTGGGCAAAGCACATTCCTAACAAGATGTATGCTTAATGCAGTGAAATAGTTAACTACACAAAGACTGAAAAACGAAAACAAATATCAAGATGAATGACATGATTTTAGATTCAAAGTACCTTAGTAGAAAACAACAAATTAATGAGCCTTGTGCTTCAACTGCCTAACGTGGTAATTACTGATGAGCAAAAATTATTAAATTAGTGAGGAAAAGGGCTGCTCAAGTTACAAGATATCATTGGTTTTGCTTGTATATTTGGTGATAAGCAAGGGAAGAAGAGGGAGGCAGGCTTGTCTATTGTCTGGCCATGCATTTTAGCAGCATCAGCTGGCTTGGCTGATCTGCTCTGCCCACTGCAGCCAGGCACCAGGGTAAGCTTATGGCCCAGCTGTGTCTGGGCACACCTCAAGGTCACTTTTGGATTTGTCAGTTGACATGAGCCAGCATCCCACTGCTTCAGCTGCTTCTAAACTTCATTTCAGTTCCAGTGACACACATGTCATAGGCATCAAGTACAAGCTCAAATATAACATCAAATTGAGATGTTGTCAGAGGCACGTACAGGTATGAGGGTATTTGCCAAATGCAGTCTGGCAAGAGAAGGATTATGGATGGGAGAAGGATTTTCCCATGTTACATGTAAATACCATTGCCACAAACTTCCCAGCCTGTGTCATCAACTTCTTTCTGTTTAAATTTCTTACAGATTAAGGAAAATTGAGGAATCAATATCAATTAACAAAATAAAGTGCTTCCTAAAGGTTCAAAGAACCTTTCAAGGTTTTGGTACCTTGCTGAATAATTTTTTTTTTCAGGTAACAAGGTACTTAAAAACCTCAAAACAGAAGAGCTCTGTAACGATTAACTCAAACTCTACATACTCCTCCTGTTTGGAATGTACTAAAACATTCAAACAACTTGGCAAACATCACGTTTAACTACAGACCTAAAATGACTTTTGCTGTCAGCATGGCCTGCTGTGGAATTGAGATAAGGAGATTTCTGTGGGGCCAGCTGGCGGGTCAGCAGCAGCATTAGGCGCACAAATCCGAGTCCTCGGCTGCTGAGCCCGAGCTGGCTCCCGGGGCTGGAATTACAGACCCTTCCCCTGCGCCCCGAGGAAGCTCCTGGCCACTTACACCTTGTGCTGCTGTAAATACACTCCGTGCTGCGAGCCCCCGGGAAACGCCAGCCAGCCCAAGCCACCGCTTCCCAAGCCACTTAAAGCCATCGCCTCGTTTCTCCCGGCCATCGCTGCCTTAAACCCTCTGTATTTCCCTAAGCTTTCGCCCCCTGAGGACACCCGCGACTCACCGGCTTAGGGCAGAGGGGGGCTGAGGCATCCCGGCGCTGTCCCGCCTCCCGCGGGCCTCCCCCGGCGCGGCCCGCCCCGCTGCGGGCTGCAGTGGCTCCTCCGGGGGCGCAGGCGGCGGTGCCGCCCGGCCGAGCGCGGCACCCCGGGAGCGCGGCACCCCGGGAGCGCGGCTGCCCCGGCGCCCTCCGCCTCGCCAAGATGAACCCGCGGCTGCGGCACTGGCGGGAGGCGGCCACGCTGCTGCTGGCGGCGGGCACGCCGGGCCCGGGCCGGCCGCCGCGCTCGCCGCTCGGCCCCTTCGACTACGAGCTGCTGCTGCTGCGCCGGAGCTCCCGCAGCGGCTTCATGCCCGGCGCCCACGTGTTCCCGGGCGGGCTGGCGGAGCCGGCGGATTTCTCCGCCGAGTGGCTGGGGCTGCTGCCCGCCTCACCGCACTGCGGGCTGGGCGCCGTGAAGCCGCCGCCGCCCGGCGGCAGCCGCGCCCCGCTCTTCGCCGCCGACCGGGAGAGCCTGGGCTCGCAGCTGCCGGGTGAAGTCGCCTTCCGCATCTGCGCTCTCAGGGAGACCTTCGAGGAGGCGGGGATCCTGCTGCTGGTGCCGGGGCGCGGGCCGGCCCCGCCGCTGCCCGCCGAGCGCCTGCCGCCCGCCGCCGAGCTCGGGGAGTGGCGGCGCCGGGTGCGGGAGGACGCGTCCTGCTTCCTGCGGCTGTGCCGGCGCCTGGGCTGCGCGCCCAACATCTGGGCGCTGCATGAGTGGAGCAACTGGCTGACGCCCGTGGGCAGGGCCGGCCGCGGCGGCCGCCGCTATGACACGGCTTTCTACCTGTGCTGCCTGCCGGAGCGGCCGCCGCACGTCTCGCAGGACGACCAGGAGGTGACAGCCGTCCTGGTAAGAGGCGCCGGCGTGCCGCGATGCAGCACAGCCCGGCCGGGCGGGTGTTGCGATGGGAGCGGCAGCTCCTGCCCGAGCCCTTCTCCCACGGCCCCTGGCTCTGTCGAGACTGTGCCCTTGCACTTCGAACAGGGGTAAAATCATAGAATGGGAGGGCTTGGAATGGACCTTGAAGAAAATCGTGTCCCACCCCTGCCATGGGCAGGACACCCTCCACCCAGAGCAGGTTGCTCCAAGCTCCAAGTGTCCTGCGACCTGGCCTTGCACACTTCCAGAGATCCAGGGGTATCCACAGCTTTGGGCAACCTGCACCAGGGTCCCACCACCCTTACATTAAAAAAACTGCCTTCTAATATCTAATCTAAAAGTCCCCTCTTTCGATTTGTACCCATTGTACTCCTTGTCCTGTTACTGCAGTTCCTGACAAAGAATCCCTTTCCAGCTTCCCTCCAGTCCCCTCAGACACTGGACGGTGCTGTGAGGTCTCCACACAACTGTCTCTTCTCCAGAGCAATCCAAGCCCTCCCGATAAAGCTCCTTGAGACGTGAGGAAAGGGGAGGGAGGTTTTACCTGCACGGTGCCCCTTTCGCCTGGGCACCTGGAGCTGCCACCATCGCCACAGGTGCAGCTGCAGCAGCTGTCGGGAGAGGGATTTTTGTGAGGTGATTGTACATGATCCATGTCACATCAGACCCTTCTCACCGTGAATTACTGTCTCTTTCAAAGGCAGTTGACAAATACCATTTTTTTTACATTCATTCCTGCAGTATAGTGCAGGGTTGTCACATTTCCTCATTATTCTGGGAGACATGCATGTGGTATATCCAGGTATATTCCAGGACTGCATGAGATGCTTGTAGTTTTTCTTTCAGAGTTACTTGGAAGATTGTAAGTAATATGCAAACTTGTTGAAATAGTCTAGTAAAAATGTTGAAGTTATAACTTTTTTATTTTTTTTTTTATATGAGAGTGTAAAAGTAACAAACTTCATGAAGAAACTCTTAAGAGAGCTCAAGGTCAGGTACATTAGGGTCCTTGAGTTTTTCTAGGGATTCTGAAGTTTGATTACAAGTTAGAAGTGGATGAGAAACCAGACAGTTCTGTAAAAGCCTACCTAACAATGTTGGCATTACTGATGTTGCTATATTTATTTGTTTAAGAAATTTTGCTACAGAAATTTAAATTTCAGGTTTCAACCTGAAACCTGACTTTCAAGAGTTCATGTTGTAATTTTGTCAATAACAGTATAAATCTACTGCAAACAATTATGTACATATTATTAAAGTCACAATGTGAGATAAAATCAAGATTACCAATAGTTTAAACATGCAGAATTATGATGAATAGCTGGGTGTTCATGCTCTGAAAACAATACTTCTAAGAAGCAGATGTTTAGAGGTACTTCTAAAGCTCAAAGCATCAGTGGCAACCTCTGGTAATAGTAAGTTTAATGTTTTCTGTTGGTTTCAGTAAACTATTCTGTCATGCCCCTAAAACAAATGCCAGTTTTTAATCCTGGCATGTCTGTATGTAAAATATTTTTTTTTTTAATTGGGAAAAAAAAGAGTAATTTTTATCGCTTGTTTTTCAATTTTAAGAATCTTTGTTATTACTTTGGTGCAGTTTATACATGGTTTTTATTGTGTTCAGAAGATACTCTCTGTTGCAAGCTCCTTTGCTGCATAGACTTCCTTGCTAAATGACTTTTCAGGTTATTCAGACTTTCTATCCGCTACTGAAACTATTATTTCAAGACTTGTTTTCATCTTCCAGTGGTCGTCACCTCCCGAAGCCATCGAACGGTTTAAGTCTCAAGAGATCTGGTTTCCCCCACCTCAGTTTTATGAATTCTGCAGGCTGTGCAACTTCCCTTCCCTCAAAGAGCTGCAGCAGTTCAGCTCCGCACGTGCTCTGGAGGGCTGTGAGCGCTGGATGCCCGTGATGCTGAATGCTGCAGATGGATTCATCCAGCTGCTGCCGGGTAAGGACACACTGGAGGTTTCCCTTAAATACACAGCATCTCCTGAATGCTGTGTGCTGAAGCCATATGACATAAACCATCCTTAACTGTAAGGAAAATACTCCTCTAAGACAAGTTAGTGCACGCTGTTTCCACCTTGTTTGCTACAGTTGTGACAGTGGCTGCAGTCAGAGACAAGCCAGGACATTACACAGCACAGTTATTTCTTAGTTACTCATTATCTCATTGTTTCACCATTGTCATCATATGTGTATTTGTGAAGAAATTGTACTCCTCTGTACATTTCAGCTTTGTGTAACCTGAAGAATGTTTAAAAACTCCTTCTGTTTAGTCCTTTTCAGTGGGAATTCTCCTTTACTTCAGGTGTTATTTTGTGAGAAGCACAGCTGCAGTATCACAACTCCCAGCTGCAGTGATAAAGCACTGGACTAAAACTATACACTCAGCCATCTTCCTCCTTCCCTTTCTTCTACTTAAGTCTCCCCCATTTCATAATCATGTACATGCAGTGTTAAGAAAAACTGCATATACTATTTATTATTTTCTGCTTTCTAAGTTTGTTGTTCATTATGCTTTCCTTTTTTTTTCTTTTGGTCACAATTGACCTCTAGGATTTCTATATTTGTGTTTTATTGTCAGTCTTGCACAAGAGCATAACGCCTTAACATTGCAAAGTGTTTATTTCCTTCAACAAAATAGATCAAAATACATTTCTTTTCTTAGTCTGTCTTTATAGACGTGAAGAAGTGCTTGTCCTGTGCTCCTCCTATTATATACACTCCTGTCTGCCCAGGCTGTCATTACAGCATATTAATAGCATATTATCAGAAGCTCTGGAACATTCAGTGTGCACTGCAGCATCACTGACGTATTTCACAAATGTATGGCTCTATCTTTAAATATGAAGATTTTTAGAGTCAGTTTACTTTTGCATTGCAAAACACATTTCCACTGATTTACATGTCTGATAAATGTTAAGAAATTGCCAGTGTCACTGAATGAAAAGGCTGAACAATAGTGTTGGCAATCTATAACTAAATCTTTTTTCCTACCCGCAGGAGATGAGTTATATCCGGAAGATCCAGATTATACTGGAGAAAAGAAAATTGTTATGTCAACAGATAAGAAGGTTGAAGATCTCATGAAAGAGGGTGGGATATTTCACAGGATAGTAATAAAAGACATCAACAATCTTGCTGTCTATGTTAATATTCAAGCAAAATATAAGCATATAAATCCACTGATGATAAAGTGTGATAATTCAAATTACAATAGTAGATTATAATATGTCTTTGGTTTAAATCTAGAATATTTTTAATTGCATATATGCTCACTGTGGTTTTAAGTGCTTTTTAACTGTTGCCAAATAGTAATGAAAATATTTCTCTGTCCTACCAAAGTATTATGTCTGTATGTATGTGTGGTGTCACATCCTTGTGTATCTAATCTCTTGAGTCTTTAAAAAGAGCAGTTGCGCTGCTTTGGGTCACAGAGATCCTCTTCTCACTGAAAATTTAAATATATGTTATGTTCAGAACAGAGAAGAGTTGAAGGATTCCTTTACTATGCTTCCCAAAGTTACCTGCTAGGTAACTGCAATGTGTGTCTAGAAAGGGATAAAATCTCCCATTACATATTTGTTGACATTTTCCACTCTATTCTCTTTTTTAATTTGGGGACAAGAAATGGATGTATAGATATAAATATAGATGTGTACATAAATTAACTATAATGCACTTTTTAAAATAATATTATAAAGTAAATTTTTATATTTGATATACTTAAATTATTTCTACTAATGGTAATAATTCAAAAATATAATTTTCAAAGGTAGACCTAATTTAGAGGAAGTCTTCTATGGAATCGAGTGCATTCTTTTTATCAATATATTTTTTATCTTCAACTTGTAAGCAATTAAAAAAAAAAGTTTAATTTTTTAGCTCCAAAAAGATTATCAACAACTTAAGGGAATAATATTCCTCCTTGATATATCCACTTTTATATTTTAACATGCCACTTTTTGTTTCTTAACTACTTTACTAATATAACTGAGATTTAAGAACTTCAGAGGAAAGATGGTTGCTTAATTTTTGGGTTGAATTTTTGTTTGATTGGATTTGCCTTTTCTTTTGTGGAATAAGTGGAGTCGGTGGAGCAGTTTTGTAAATTTTTTATCTGGAAGGAGAATGAATGATAACTTCAGCTTAATCAGTAAAGTTGTTCAGAAAACTTTGTTCCAGC